ATCCGAATCTCTTTGAACTTGGAAGTCTAGGTGGATTAAGTCTTTTAGACACTCATAGCTTAGTTCTTTCCAAACTTGTCTTCTAGGCAATCCTTTGTTTAGCCACTTCGACTCAAGCTCTAGTAGGTTTGGATCGTTAAACCTTTTCTCGCTTATAGTTGCATTACAAATTGAAACCTTTCAGAACTTATGAGTCTAGGTAGGAATAAGTTTTTTATTACCCCCACACCCCAAAAAAAACATTTGTCCCATTTCTTGTAATTTTGCATTTTTTTTCTCTCTCTCTCTCCCTCTTTTTGTTTTCCTTGTTGCCATGTTTCCTTTCTTTCATAGTTATTTTATTTCAATTGAGATAAAAAAGAGCACAAAATAGCCAAGCCAAAACCTATGATAATTTATCATATCATTAGTCATAAGTACAATTATGATCCCAAGCAAGCTCCATCTCCTTTTTACATTAAGTCCAACCTCAAAAGCTCCAAAATTTCACAAGTCCTCGCATTTCAATTCAAACTAATTTTAGGATATACAATCATTTCTGTATGTGGTTATTGCAAAAAATATCTGCAGTGCCCATTAAATTGATCCAAATTGTTTGCCTCTCTTTAGTTTGGCTCAATCATCAAAGAAAACTTTCTCCTCCTACAACCTTGATGTATATCTATCATCTCAAGCTTACAAGCATCTTTTATTCCCTACGTTCTTGCTAAAATCTTGTTGTTACAACTCCTATTCTTTTAAAACATCCTTTATACAACAACATCATCTTCCTTCAAATCAATACATCTGCTTAGGGATCAACTTAACTTATTCAAAATACATCACATCAAATCTAATTTTGATGTGCTCTACGATAAGATAACAATATCATCTACCTTTAAAAATTTGCAAGTATCTAATGTTGAAAAGCATTGCTTCATTTTTAGCATTTATAGTTTGCAAGTGGTTGAAGCAGAATAGGGGCACATAAGGCCTTGGGGATAAGAAGATCACAAGAAGAACAAGATTCTTTATGTGGATGAAAATTATGGTAAATGAAAACAAAAAAACTATAGTAGGGACCCTTATAGCAAGTAAGGTAGTCAAAATGGCTTGTTGTTCGCAAACAACTCGTGTTTAGCTTATTAAGTAACTCGTGTTCGATTTGTTCGCTAAACAAACAAGTTGAACACTAAAAATTTTTTTGCGCTTGCAATATAAACAAGTCGAACACAAATAAAATAAAATAATTAAATTATTTTATTTTAATTATTAAGTTGAACACACACACACACACACACATATATATATAATTGATGAATATTATTTTAAAACTTTAATTGACTACAAGGCTACATAGATTTATAATCAATTAAAATTAATATTAAAAATAGAATAAATATATATTAAATTCTATTTAAATTAATATTTTAATAAAATAATAAGATTTAAAGCTCGCCCCTACGCCCCTACCTTTAACATCCAATGATTGTTTGATTAGGGTTATCAAAACGCCTCATTGTTCGCAAACAGCTCATGTTCGGCTCGCTAAGCAAACAAGTTGAATGTGAACAAATTTTTTAAGCTCGATATATAAACGAGTCGAACACGAACAATGGTTCTATTTAACGAGCCAAACACGGACCGAGCCTAAGCTCGCTCAAGCTCGGCTCATTTACACTCGTAATAGCAAGGTGGAAACAAAATAGAGGACAAGTCATGCATCGCACAAATAAGATAAAGAGGTGAAGGACTTTCTTCTTTTTTTTTTCTTTTTTTTTTTTGTTAGAATAGAGTGAACCAAATGAATCATGGTTTGAAAATTGAGATATGGTCATTGCAAAGTAAGAATAAGGTATTGGGTAGATTAAATCAAGGGATTTTGAACAAAACATTAAAAAATCCAATGATGACATGGCGTAGATGAAAAATTCCTCACATGAAATTGAGCTCGAATACCAAATTACATAAAATAAGACAATAAAAGCGACAATTATAAATTTTGATGCAATGAATTGTTAAGATAATAAAACAATATATATATAAGAAGAATAGAAGAGGTAAGGAAAAGAATGTTGTGCAGGTAATAAGACAAAGCATGTCATAGGAGAAAGAGAAGGTAAAGACACAGCTAAAAGAAAGATGGGGGAATAGATCTCTAATCAGGATGTCAAAAAAGGACATCTTCAATCCATTAACAAACCATATTCAAATACAACAATCCTAGTATCATTGTAGCAAAATGTTTCTTTGACAGCCTAATCCTACTGAAAATTAAAAGGGAAAATTATATACATAGCACCCAAAACATTGTTAATTATCAAATCTAGCACCCAAGTGATATTTTTGAACTACTAAACTAAAGTATTTATACGTGTCACGGTCAAACCATTGAGAATTTAATAAAAATGAAAAACATGAGTCGGGCTTTTATGATGAATTTTGATATAAGAGTAAAAATTTGAAAAAAGGATGAAAGAAGGAGCTAGATTTGTAAATAGAAATGTTTCGGCTGCTATGTATGTAATTGCCCCAAATTAAAATAATGGCAGTATACAACTAAAACTAAAACTTGATCGTATTACCTCAAGCAAACAATCAAAACAGCATAAAAGAATAACAAAAAATAAGGTGCAATCACACTTTACCCCCATTGGTAAGCACATAACCCACATTTAGTATAAAGATATGCACTTAACATCAATTTGCTTTTGACTCCTTGGTTATTAATATTTTCCATCTAACATCATGAAAAAAGTAGCATTCTCACCAAAAATGAAGATATGGTGAGTTTACCATCTTCCCTTTTCCTCTACACTCTAATTTGAGCACTTCCTTAAAAAAACTTACCACATATTCTCATTTTTCTCTTCCACCTTTATGAAACCAGTTGTAAGCTCCCAATATGCCAAAGGAAATGACACCACATGGATAAACTCCTTCCATGTTCACAAAGTAGCAAAATACCTCTTCTTGATTTATTTTCCAAGGAAAAAATAGCCCTATAAAAATTTTGTAAGAGAATTTGAGTTAATCACTTTGCGGAATTCTTATTCCAAGAAGAATTGAGGAAGAAGAGGAGAATAAGAAAAGATTTATACAAAATTCATACTTTGAGTATCAAGATCCAAATGGAGAAGCATTAAAAATTTTATAGGAAAAAAATGAAGAAGATAAGACATCACTAGAGAGGTCGAGACGGTAAAGTTAAATATTGGAGATTGAATGATAAATAAGAAAGAGCGAGTTGGTGTCAATTGCCTAGTTGTGAATGTTGGAGAGGAGGGATAAGGGCAAGTACGACTAATGCTGATAAGGAGGGGACTATGATATTCTATGGTCCCATTACAAATTTCAGCCTTAATATCCTATGGTCCCATTACAAATTTAATCCTTCGATGAGAACATCTTTTTAATACGGTCCATCAAATCAAATGTCAAAAATCAATATGGTGCATTAATCAAAAGCATGTGGCGATTAAACACACATTGTTAAACCACATTAAGGATATGCATGCATTATGATGAAATGAATGAGGTGAAGTACAATTAATCCATAAAATAATACCAACTAAATTAAAATAAACAAATAATCAAATTTGAAAATTGTAATTAGATGTCTTTAGTAGCATTAATAGCCCATTGCACTTGAATAACTTTACTACAAAAGAACCAATGATAATTGTCCTTGTAGTCTCACTGCTTATGTCAGTGATTTGTTTGGCAATGCTAAAACATTATATTTTGCATTTTTTAAAGCATCTTCTAGCTAAAAGTCTAAAATCATTATGAGTAGTCATCAGCACACCAAACTACTTTACATCATCCCTTTTAATCATCCCTTGAAATTCATTCATATAAGAGTTAACTCTATTATTTTGCAAAATCTCTAGCCATATTATTTTTTCTCTGCCTCTATTCTTCCATAGCCAATTAACTCTATCTACCAATCTTATTGAGCCATTTTGAGGTCTTATTTTTACCTCTTCAAACCATCTATATCTATAATTTATCTCCTGACTTTCAGAACGTGTTGCTTTTACTAATTCTAGATAACTAGACATATTAGTCTTGTCACACATCCACTTTAAATTTCACTTTTTTTCTTACTCAGTTGGATTAGAGCTTTATTTGTTGCCACACTCTAATTCATACAGCATAACTAGTTTCTCATTTACTAAAATTAAACTTTAGGTCTCATAATATAATCTTCTTACATAATACTCATGAGACTTTTCTCCATTTTCCCACCTTTAACTCTAGATGAATTATACTTATCTATAGATTCTTTTTCTTTTTTTGATAGAATGAAGGTAAATCTAGCATTTCTAATCTTTCAACAATATTGATTTATATTTAAAAAATACACCCACTAAAATTTTATTTCAAGCACTCAATATTTACTAGAACAATTCTAAGCCCATCTGCCTCCTATAAATTATCTTAATTGCTCTAAATTTTACATCAAAATATTTCTCATTTCTTAGAACTATTCCATCTACCAAAGCATACATCAAGGTGACTCATTTAGGGATATGAATTTAATTTAGATCCTCGATTTAATCCTAATTTGATTGGAACCATTTGGACACTGCACAAACAATTTTACCACTACTCATTGTTCAACTATAGATATCTTCAACTTCAACACACCATTGGCACGGATTTTATCCTTAATGCCCACCATCTTGACTATTGTTGTCCCAAGATTTTATCTTTATTATAATTATCTTCAAACAAAAATTACCAAAATAATAGTCTTTTAGCATATTGGTAAATCGTTTCTCCAATATTAATATGATCTTCCTTAAATTATGTCCAACATACCCCCTGAAAACATTATTGAATGACACATACTGATTCCCCTATATTATCATAATCATGAAGATCTTCAAATTCAATAGCCCAAATTGCAGAATAGAAGAACCCTTTCATTCTTGATAACAAAAACAGCAAAATGTTACTTCACAAAATATGCAAGAGAAAAACCTCACGAAGATCTGAGCACGTGGCCAGCGTACCTTCTTAAGCGCCAACCTCTGCAATTTCGGGACCTCCTCGAGCAACTTTGCCTTGATGCGCCGGATCTCGGCGTTCATGGCCACCACCGCCGCCCTATTCTTCTCCTGAGACGCCAATTCCGATTTCTGCAGGAACAAAAAAAACCTCCGATCAGCTAGAAATCACGAAGAGATTGAAAAAATCAAAGCGACAGTCAGAAGAAAACGGGGGCAGGGAAGATAATGTAGACGCGAATAGGGTTAAGAAGGCGGGATTACATTAAGGGCGGCCTCGATCTCGGCTTCGACGGACGAGTATAGGCGAGCAAAGGCATCGTCGCCGGCGAAATTACCACCGTCGCCGCGCTGTTTATCGACGTCGTATTTGTCGTATTTCTTGCAGATCGAATCAACACGCGTCAATATGTCAATCACGCTCATTTTTGCTGGCTATACCTTCTTCCTCCCAGATTCTTCTTCCTTTTATCCTGATGAGTCTTACCTCTTCAACTCTCCTCAGAGAAACGAACGCGATAGAGAAGATTGAGGGAGAAGCCCAGTGGGTAGCCCTGCAATCAAAGAAGAAAACGACGACGGAGTAGAACAGCACATTGCATATGGCACCCTATTTCAAAAATATTACATGAGTACTCATCCCTTAAAAAGTTACTTACGGAGTCCAATAAAATTACGTGGTGAAAGAGTACAATAAAATTATGTGGTGGAAGGGGTGATAAACTCGTAACAGTAAGAAATATTTTCTTCATGTTATTCAGGAGTTATTGTACTTTAGAAATATTCTCGGTATTATAATAACACAATAACACATCAATAATACTTGAATAACACACAATAACACATGAATAACACATAATACTTTCAATAATTTTAAAAGAATTGTCAAATGTTTTCAAAATGTGTTGCCAAATAATTTTTAAGACTTAAAACTTTCAGAATCTAGTAATCCGGATTTACATGATTTACAAAATCTTATTAATTTAAATCTCATATGTTGCCCTACAACCTCAAATGACAGCAATCATGATACTTTTAATGCAAAAAAAAAAATAGTGAAATTTTTTAAATGATGTCAATAAATTGGGTGTTATATAAAAAAAATATTAAAATTTAGTTGGTATATATATATATATATATATAAACAAATTAATTATATGGTAGATATGTAAATCATCTAAATTATGAATATAATGACAATTGATAATTATGATTATTTATTTTATTATTGTGCTTTTTCAAAGCATTATATAAATATATCACATAATACTTATATAATAAAGTGTCATACACTAATGTTTTAATAATTACATATATGACATCCAAATCTTTAGTATCAAATCAAGAATTGTATTTATTCTTAATTTTTTAAGAAGTAAAATAATTATTTTTATGCTACGTCTTGGTATGATCATGACACGAAAATGTTATAGAAGTGAATATCAAAGTTTAGGCTTTACATATAAAAATATAAAAGAATCATTGTGGCACCAATGATTAAGCCACAATGGAGAGGACTGCATAAAATGAATTATGGTGATGTTCAAGGATTGATTGTTTCTAATAAGTTCTTTATATGGAGAACGAAAAAAGGCATGAGTTGTCATTATTCTATTGGCGTACCATTATTAAAAAATATTTTTTTTTTCTTAACCACATATGTTATGCGTTGAAGGGTTGAACCCTCACTTCATATTTTTTAAATGGGGGCCATATCATATGATCTAATGCCTCTTGTTGAACCAACCAATCATAAGTTAGAGCCATTTAATTCTAGTGTGAGCTAGAAGGGCTAGATCATATTTTAATTATAATTTGATAGCATATTTATTTTTATTTAATATCTATTTGAGTAAAGATGAATTTTTAGACCATTTTTACTCCTTTATTTCATTTTTAATATTATTTGAGATGTTAACTTATTCTCACAAAATAGTCTTAGCATGCTTGTTCTCTTCTCTATTCCTAAAGATTTTTTGTCAATTTGTTTTATGTCCAAACTATTAAGATTATTTTCAATTATCTAAGGTTTAATTGTTTTCACTCTAATATAATCATTTATTTTTATTAATTTTGTAACACATTCATCTTAATATTTTTATTTTCATTGCATCTAGCTTGAATATCTATGACTTCTTTTATTGCTAAGCTCTCAATCTATAAACCATCATAAGTCTAGTTAAATTTTTATAATCTTCAAGCCTTCATGGTATCATGCATTTGAAATCATACTTATTAAGATATTCTTCCCAATTTTAATCACCCATTTTTAACTCCAAATGCCATGTCTTCATCTACATTCCCATGCTCTTTTATAATTTATCTAAGATATTTAAAATTATGACAAATTTGTATCAATTTATCTTTCAATGTTATGAACTAATCATTTTTAATAGCGCTCTTACTAAAACTACATATAATATATTCAATTTTAATTCTACTAATACTAAGTCATTTAAGTAACTAAAAAATAGTGAAGATTATTTTATTACATTCAATACTTTTTCATTAACTATCATAACATAAAAAATAAATTGTATAACATATATTACTAACATTGAATCAAATTGATTATTAAGACTATCATAATTCTAAATTTATTATCCATCTCCCTCTCTCACTCTCTCTCATAGTTTCAATGATGATTCATATCAATTCCTTCATAGAAAGAAAAATATTTAGCATCATGGGGAATGGAGATTCCTAGGAGTTTTTGCAGGGTTAAAGAAACTTAACTATAATATGAAATTCCAATGTTTGTTTTATCTCATAAGAGAATAAGAAGTACTAGTTTCCAATTTTCAACTACAATATGGAAAAAATCATGGTTTGATTAAACCAATTTTGAGAAGATTTAAATCATTTTAAGCTCATTTATCTTAGCTTAGATTTAAACTTTAAAAGTTTAGGATATTTAGGCACCTTTCAAAACTAAAATTTAACTTTTGAATTAGCAGACTACTACTTAAATTAATTTAAAAAATAACAAAGTTCTTTGAGGGATGCTCAAACTCATAATTTGGAATAATATTTGACAAACAAATATACTTATGTAATTAAAACATACATCACTACACACATGATCATGTATCTCTAAGGATGTGCTGACAATATCATTAGTAATAAAATGATTTAAAAGTTGGGTGGCATAAGTTTAACGTTGATGTTGGGAGGTTTCCTTTTCAATCCCATCCTAAGGAGAAAACTCATACTCATAATTCCATCTCAATTCAAAAAGTTAAAGTACGATTCCATTCTTAGGTCAACCCAATGGCCTCATTTAGGAAAGGGTTGGCCAAAGTGGTTGATGAGATTGATAGTTTAGCATGGCCAATGATAGTGATGATCTCAATGTTAGTGAAGGAGACCAATTTATAGCTATTGATGCTAAAATTTAAATGTCTTTATTGTAGAAATTATATGAAGATTATATTATTTTGAATAATCTCAAAGGCGCGCGATTAAATTTTATCAATATTATAAAACCTAAACAATTGACAAAAAAAATGATATGAATTTCTTCATTCTAACAAGAGCAAATTAATGCCACTAAAATTTGAAAAATTGGAGGCTTGGAGGAGCCATAGTAAGTCTAAGGTGTTTCTAATTGAAGTTATAAATCATTTAATAATAATGATGGAACTCTAACATTTTTACAATAAAATAGTCATCTTGAGATTATTCCTATGGCATAAATGGCATGTGATTTTATGGTATGTAGAGATCTAAGATTAAAAAAAAAATGTCAAATTTCAAAATATTTCATAAAATTTTGTGTTATTCAAAGTATCTCATGCTAAAATATATGTTAATTTAGACTTCTCTGGCTGAGAAGATTTTGATAATGATCTCTTCTTGCCAATCAAAAAAAAAGTATAGTGTTATCATGTGCCACATCAGTAAGCATCTTAGTACTTTGCACAAGGCATTTAAACAAGAAATGGGAGCCCCCTATAGATTTGATTGATTTGATTCAATTTAACTAGTTCAAGGCAAAGAGATTCAAAATTCTTGATTTTTGTTCTCATTACATTTGTCTTGCAACATTATAGCATGAGCTTTTTAGGGATAAGGAAGGTAACATTTATGACTCAATTTTTGCATACATAAAATGCATTTGTGAAATTAAAGTTGTTATATATGATGATATTTTGAGGAGATTTGTGATTTTTAAAATTAATGTTAATTTCTTTTTTTACTTTAACTAAATGATATATTAAAAAAAAGTATTGTTATTGTAAAAATGTTTTTAGCATCAAACAATCATATTGGGCTCTCTTTTGGGCTGAACGATCTTTTTCTTTTTGGCCCAAATGTGAGCCTTTAGCCCAGAGACTTAACCATCAGTTAAAACAAATGTCTCATGTAAGTTTTGCTTGATTTAGTGTAACAAAAACATAATACAATATATGTTATATTAAAAAAAAAAATCATCAAATTTATCTACTTTAATGATATGCTTAAAAAATATAATGTAAATTAACGCGCAAACACTTCAAATAAAAACAAAATATAGATATTTTAATGCATTTTAAATTTCACGAAAGCAATCTATATATATATATATATATCTATATGGGTGTGTGTGTGTCGTGTATCCCAATTTGTTGGTTGACATGCACGGTATAAGATCCCTCAAGTCAGGGGTTCAAATCTTCTATGACGACGTATTTCTTAAGGAGATTATACTGAACATTATGTGTGGCTAGAGACTCGTATAATTGCCCCTGATCACTTCTTCTTTTACGCGCACACACACATTTCTTCTTTTAAACACTCACACACACACACACACACACACACACACACACAGAACCTTTAAGAATCCTTCTTCATGGCTCCCACAAGTCCTCTCCAACACTCCAAAAAAACTCTTTTTTTCAAAATTGTGTGAAGATGGGGTTCATATCGGAAGCTTTTTATATTATTTTTTTCTATTTTTTTATGAACATTATCTTACTTTTTATCAGTTGCTATTTTTTTCTATTTTTTGAAAAATTCATAATAAAAAATAATTTAAAAGTCAAATATACTACTGTATATTAGCTATAAGGACACTAAAAGAATTTATTTAATGAATATTTATGTTATCTATTACAATTTTTAACAAATTTTACTTTTATCACAAGAATTTAGTAAACAACCCTAAACATAAAGCTAGAGCCGTTTCAAATGAAGTCTTAATAACAAATTTACCCTTCATTTTCAATTTTTTTTTTTTACTATTTTGTTTCAAAACAACTGGCGTGTTAAGATATTATAATTTTGATCAGTCCATAAAATGTTTGAAAACATATTTCCATTTCTATCTTCACAAGGACTTTAAAGTCATAATAATTTATATACGTGCCACCCCATTCCTATAGGTATTTCGCGACCACATTATAAGGGGGCGGATTATTGTCTCTTACAGGATTACCTGACTGCAAGGGACACTTCTGCTTCTGGAGCTTAGTAGCAAACTTTTCCGTCGCCTCCCCTCGCTTAAGCAGCTTCTACAATGTCTGAATCACGCCACAGAGCTTACGTTATCTCACCCGCTAACGCACGAGTAACTGTAACATCTACAGTATATTGCAAGACCGATTGATGATGGCCGGTCAACATCTCCCTGGAGACCTT